TCGTCTTGTGTGTGTGTGTGTGTGTGTGTGTGTGTGTGTGTGTGTGTGTGTGTGTGTGTTATGTATGCATATGTGTGTGGAGGGTGCCTGTGTGTGCGAGAGAGACAGAGGCATATGTGTGTGCTGTGTGTATATGTATGTGTGTGTGTGTGGGTGCCTGTGTGAGAGACAGAGAGAGGCACATGTGTGTGACGTATGCATATGTGTGAAGGAGATGCCTGTGCACACACATGCAGACTCCAGAGCAGGAACTCCTGTCCTTCTCCATCTCTCTGTGCTCTGTGACCAAGGGACAGGATTCCTCAGTGAACCTGGAAGTAGCCTGGCCCAGTGATCCTCTGGTCCCCATGCCCACAGCTCTGGGGTTACAGGGGACCTGACCACAGCCATCTTTTAGGCCACAGTGTGCACGTGGAGATCAGAGGACAACTTGTGAGAATAGGCTCTCTCCTCCCACTATGTGAGCCCCAAAGGTCAAATTCGAGAAAGTGATCGGGCCTGGCAGCCAGGGCCTTCACCCACTGAGAAAGTTCACTTCTTCCATTTTTTTTTTTAAAGATTTTATTTATTTATTATGTATACAACATTCTGCTTCCATGTATATCTGCACACCAGAAGAGGGCACCAGATCTCATAACGGATGGTTGTGAGCCACCATGTGGTTGCTGGGAATTGAACTCAGGACCTCTGGAAGAGCAGTCAGTGCTCTTAACCTCTGAGCCATCTCTCCAGCCCCCACTTCTTCCATTTTTATAAGAGCTCAAACTCGTTACCAGGCTTGTGTGGCAAGAAAATTTACCTGCTAAGCCAGCTCTCCAGCCCCCCACCCCTGCTTCCTTTAAATACTCATATACGGTAAATACATTGTTACCACTTACTAGTAACCGCAAACTTCACACTGGTATTTTTTTTTTTTAATAAGAAGAAACTAAAGGTATTAATAAAAAGGAAGACCAACGTAGTAGCAGATATTTGTTTCAAATTCTTACCACCAATGAAGGCAGATGAGTAAATGCTAGAAAAGTGAGTATAGGTGGCCTATGACTTTTTGTAATGTGAAATGGTACACTGAAAATAATCTGCTACTTTGCAATAGATAAAAGACTTTTCTGTGGGCATGACTCCCAACCTTTAATGTCAACTTCACCTATCAACTAGTAGTAATAGTATCTGTCTTAAAAAAAAATTAGTATTTGTCTTACGTGACTCGAGGGAAACTAATTGGCATGGTATGTGTGAAAGGCCATTCAACCGTGTAATCATCAGGTATTATTTGCTCATTTGAGACCACACAGCCCAGTAGGTAAGGAGCCTTCGGCAGGACTAACTGGCTTTGACTCCTAGCTCTATTGTTCGTTCTAGTCCCTTTAGGTCTATTTAAAAAAAAATTTATGTGTATGTTTGTGTGTGTGTGTGTGTGTGTGTATGCCACGTGTGTGTGCAGGTCCCTGTGAAGACTGGAAAAGAGATTTGCAATCCCTTGTGCTGGGGTTACAGTCTATTCTGAGCCACCTGCCATGGGTGCTGGGACCTGAAGCTGGGTCTCTTGAAGAGCACCAAGTGCCACTCCTCCGGCCCCAGTTCCGCTGCCTTAAGCAAAGCAGTTTACTTTCCCAACTCTTCATCTTGTCAGCAAATGGAGACAGTCACAACACTTGCATCAAAGAGGCTTGAAAGGTTATATGCAGCCCAGTAAATCACACATAAAGACCGGCCGTCTTAATATGCACCGTGATCTTTATATCAAAATGGCCTCAACTGTATCTCCCATTTTCTCGAGAGAAGTTAAATTGAGAGAGACCACCGGGAGAATGTGATGGAAGAAGACTTAAAAAAAAAAAAAGTTGTGTTGAGCTTAACATCCAATTTAACACCAAGGTCATAAAAACAGTGCCACATCAATTTGTAACTAAATACAAACTTTAAGCTTTGGGGCCAGGCACGATGGCCCAGCCAGTGACGTTCTGCTGTGAGTTCAGTCCCCAGCTCCATGTGAATAAGCAAGGCATGGTGCCATGGACTTTTGTAACCCAGTGCTGGGATTCAGAGACGGGAGGGTCCCCAGGGCTCACTGGGCAGCCACCTACTCTACCTTATAAATGAAAGACCCTGTCCCACAAAATGGCGTGTTGAGAAGCAGCACCCCCGGCTGCTCTCTGGCCTCCGTATACACACTCCTACACAGATAACATGTCTCTAGGAAACTACTATACGTGAGAGAAATCATCATCAAAATGAACGCAGCTATTGATTACTGATTGGTTTCTAAAGTACCAAGTTGGAAACAACCTTAGTTCCCACCCAAAAGGATGAAGAAAGAGGTCAGGCACCCTCTACTCATCCATTGAATGTGACGGCATAGTTATTGTTTACGTTGCCGTGCAGCAACTATCCGAGGGCGTGGGACCGTTCAGCCACTGTAATATATCCAATGTATTCATTTTGCCACACAACAAATGCCTCAGTGCTGCCTGTGACAGACACTGTTCTGCAAACACATAGTGGTAAGCAATGCGAGGCCTATCCTGTATTCTATGTATTTCTTCATATTGGGACATTTCCCCGGTGTATCTACACGAAAAAAGAAAAGCGGGGGGGGGGGGGGGCACACCCTTTTATTCCATTTGTATGTGGATTATAATTTTATGCCCATGCATTTTCCCTAGCGGAAAATCTGGCTGCATGTTCTCGAGAACTAGAGTCCTCTTTTGCCGCTTGGATTTTTGTATTCTACCTTCATTATCCGTCCCGTTCAGTTTTAAATGTTTTTTTACAGTGACGTGGCGAAATGAAAGATCACAGCCACCGGCTTGAAACTACAAGAGCAGTACTCACAGCGAACCAATTTCTTTGTGCAATACTATAACTTCGTAAGGTCTCGTTCTTTTCCGTTTTGGGATAACTTAGTTTTGTTTTTTCCTCACAGGCTGGACTCAAGCAGTACACTAGCACTACAGGCTCCCTAACCAAAGTTCCTATCACCAGCGAGTCCTTTCTAGGCCTGCATGCCTATGGCCGACAGGTGAGACGCCAGGGCCCACCTTCTCTCCAGAGCAGTGGCCACAGTGACTCGGTCACTCAGCAGCGGGAGGTTGCATGTGTGACGGGCTAAAGGTGGGCTCCAAGAGTAGGGCTGGCCAGCGTACGGTATAGGCATGGAAATGGGCTACAATAGGTAACCCTGGAAACCAGTGTCCTCCAGCCTTCAGAGAACATGCGGGCTACCGGGTCATGAACAGTATAATGAAGGAGAGCTGTGTTCCTACGGGTTTCGGAAGTTTCCCCCTCAGAGCATGCTGGGAATTGAAGTCCTGGGCCCAGTATGTACTAGGCACGTGGTCCCCCACTGAGTCCTTCCTCAGCTCACAAGGGTTTAACTTGAAGACAGCCAAGTGACAGTCCTCCTGGAGAGAAGGATATGTATGTGACAACCACCATAGATGAGTGTGTTGAGTTCGTATATGGCCGAGAACGCTAACCGCTTAGTCAGTTTATTAATTCTGTGTAGTGCGCACCCACCACCTAGTATCTTTGCATTCTTATGTTTGCCGCCAGTGCCTTCATATCAACTCCCGAAACACGAGTTTAGTTTGTATCCACTTTCAATGACTTGTATTCAAAAAATGTTTGCACTAACTCATAAAACAGTCTTTCCTACATGTAGAAATGCCACATGAGTCATTGCCCCACCGAGATAACTGATAGGCTATAAAACTCACGGAAGAAGAGAAATGGCTGCTCTTGTAGAGAGGTGTGCTGGTAGCTCCGTCCGACATGGACAATACTCAGTACACACATCAGCGAATGATGGGCATGGCCTTTTGGAAGAGCAATATAAGCTCAAATGAGGGATGTAGACAGACAGGCTTTGCCCTGAGCTCTGTCCGCATCAAAGTATTTGCTCAGCTGCATGAATGGGACAAAGAGTCCCCTGTGAGCAGAGAGAGAAAGGGTGAATGCCAGGATAATACTCATGTCCTGTAGTAGCTTCAGAGTTCTGTAGGAAACCGCACAGCTTCTGCGTGCCAGAGGCACCTTAAAAACACACATATTTACTATTGGCTTTGGCTTTTTTAGGTCTGCACGCTGACACTCTAGAAGCTAGGGAACAATGAAAAATTATTGCTATTCAGTAGTCAGTCTAAATTCAGAATTATCACCACCAAAATAAACTTGGGTGTATTGTAAGAACCTAAGCTCATAATTAATATGGCGATAACGGAGTCACTGTAACTGTACCCATTAGCTCTTGTGTCTTTTTTCACTGGTCAACAGTATCGTAAGTTCAAAATTAATATGAAGATAACTGAATCACTGTAACTTTGCATAGGCTCTTTTGACATTGTTCACTGGTCAACAGTATTGTAAGGTCCAACAGGCCATTAAACAGTTTAAATAAAGGAATAGTATTTATTTTACCTCCAGTTTGTTTCCTGAGGGAAATTGGCAAAATTTTTAATAACTAAGTTTGAAAATTATTTTTTTTAGCCAACCTGGTGCTATTCAAAGTACATAGAAGCCTTGGAACAAGAGCGAATTCTCCTGAAAATTCAAGAAGAAGTGGAGAGGAAAATGTTCACAGGTGACTTTTGCCTCTTGTCTTGTGTACAGAGTTGCTGTGTGGTCGTCTAGCATGAATTTTAGGAGTTTGCACCCATCATGTCACTGTTTGTCCTCTTTCTTGTATCTGTATACAGGTGCATCATCTTTCACAAACTTGCTTAAACTTCCCACTGTTTCCATTATGTCCTTGAAGAACCTGTCTCTCCACAGCATTCAGAGTCAGTTCCCGAGATCATCTTCAGCTCTTGTCTTCTCTCTGCTCGTTTCCCAACCTTCCAGAACCAGAGGCCCCGACTCTCCCCACCACCAACTTCCCACTTAGGAGAATGTTCGTTCTCTCTACGTGTCTCTAGAATTTCTCCTCCTCCACCGAGGAGCCAAGGAGGAGCCCTAGAGACCCATGTCTAATGCATCTCCTGTTTTCCAGGGTAGCAACATTCAAGCCCTTGTTCACATTCTGCTGCTGATGGTGTGAGGTAAGCTGAGTGGGAGACTTCCTTGTACTGCACATCCTGCCACACAGGCAAATCCTGCCACACAGACCCAAACCCCATGCCCACTCAGACACACCACTCACACACTCATGACTCGCTACCAAACCAAAGGGTAGGAGCAGCTAGTCTTCTGATTGATGGCACCATCTCCCAAGATAAGATTCCTGCAGGGGAGAAGGGCTTCTGTTTACTACTCGCCAAACCTCGTCCATCAAGAACCTGGGAAGGCTTGCTAATGAATAGTGTATATATTTGCTCCTATTCTATTGTGTTTATACCGTAAGCTGCCTACCATTCTCCAGTTAATTGTATGCATATTGGCTTTTGGTAACTTAGGAACTTGCCTTAGTTTATACTTCATAATATTCTTCGACATGGTCACTACAGAATATTACTTTTAATCCTAATGAAGATTGGATATATTACTTACTTGATAGCATTAATAAACTTTAAGAAAGCTAAAAGAGAGAGAGAGAACCTGGGAAGGCAAGTGGGCACTGGCTCAGGCTTCCTAAGCATCCTTACACTGGGAGTATTGTGAAAGACTGAAAACCAAACCCAAGTCCCGCTCCATCCAGATACTGATGAACCTGTAGGTTTGGTTGGACTCGAATGTTAGCGTTACCAAGCCCTTTCTTTCCACAGCAGTCTAGCACAGAATGTGGTGTTCGTGTAGACAGCCGGGCCAGATACTCAAAGTAGCCAGTGAAGGCTCCTACCTCTCTTACCCTTAGCTGTTTTCCAGCTGGTTTTCCAGCTCTTGAGGGTTGGGGTAGGGGGTGGGCCTAATGTTCTCAGGCTACTGATCTTGTTTGCCTTCTGGTTGGTCTCCACACTGCACCTCCCAGGCCACCACCTCTTAGGTTAACTTCATAAGGCCCTGAACATCAAGGGTGTCGCCACATTCGTTTGTTTTCAGTGGCAGCTCTTTTAAATTTGTATCATTATTGTTTGGGTTTATTTTCTATACAACTTTGTTTCATGTGGTTGTTTTTTTCCTTTTGCAGGATTTCTTTAAGCCAACTTGATCTAACATGAGAAGCTGAATTCCCAAGTTTTTCCATAGTCTGCCATTACTTTGGGATATTATCTACTGTGTAGGTTAGGAGAATTAAAATTGTTAGCCTGCCATAGTCCTTGAGGAAAAAGCAATATTATAGCCCCCTTGTGTGACCTTTCAACCAATGTTCTTTGCAGGCTTAGTTCAGTTAGCAGATCTATTCGTTGAGCGGCTAGGGGTGTTATTCTTCCTAGTATAGTTGGCCCAAAAGATGAAGAGCCCTCCGCCCCCATCCCCAGCTGTGACGAGGCTGTGCCAAAGCAGTGACTTTTACAGAGCCGTGTACACAAGACTCACATGACCTGGGCTAGCATTTCAGGCTCCACAGGCCACTCCCTGTAAACCCCATCGCCTGGCATCTGGAACTTAGTTTATCTCTTTCTTTTGCATGGCCACCTTCCATGTCTTCAGGGAACTCTCTAAAAGCAAACATGATATTCCCCGGGCAAAATGCCCTGCTGAGATGAGGGCTGATACACAGGCCTCTTACTTGGCATAACCACTGAGGC